AAAAAAAAAAAAAGAATTTCTGAAGGGCACCCTCCACTCCAGACTGCCTCTCAGAGCTGCCATGAAGCCTCTTGTCTGCAGGACAAACAGACACAGTCGTACCACCCCGTACACATGCTGCCACCCCAGAAGTTCTTCCTTATGTTTCACTTCACTCCTTGCTGCAGCCCCAGTCCCTGCCTTTCTTGGGCAGAATGGAGTGTGTTAATTCATTTCATTATCTTCTCACTCCACAAACATTTCTCGAATGCTTACTACGTGCCAGACTCTTCTAGTCACTGAGGACAAAGCATTGGGAAAAAATAGACACAAAAGCCCTTGCAATAAATAAATAAGAGAGCCTAATATAGAGTGGAGAATTATCATTTCAGAGAATAATGTGTTGGAAAAATAGAACTTAGAGTAGGAGTTGGGGGCAATTTGATGAAGTAAGGACTTCAGTTCAAGTTCTTCCTGCTCCTGGAACAAGCTCTTTAACTTGTCTTCTCAGTTTCCTCAACTGCAAATCGAGGGTCCTGCCAGTGTGACATTAGTGGAAAAATAGGAGGTTTAGGTCAGCAAGATGGCTCAGGTATGTAGGCATAGCACTTTGGCAGCCTGAGGCGAGGAGGATCACTTGAGAGCAGGAGTTTAAGGCCACAATGAGCTATGATTGGGCCATTGCACTCCAGCCTGGGCAACAAGGGGAATCCCTGTCTCTAAAATAATAAAAATAACGAGGCTTAAATGCATCAAGTCAAGTCATGTCATGTGTTCAGCATGGCCCCTGGCACATAGTAGGTATTCAAGGTCAGTTCTTGAGGGGCTTTTTGTATTTAAGACAAGAGTCTTGGCTCAGTGCCTATAGCTCAAGCAGCTAAGGTGCCAGTCATATACACCAGAGCTGGTGGGTTCAAATCCAGCCCGAACCTGCCAAATAATGACGGCTACAACCAAAAAGAAATAGCCAGGCATTGTGGCGGGCACCTGTAGTCCCAGCTACTTGGGAGGCCAAGGCAAGAGAATTACTTAAGCCCAGGAGTTGGAGGTTGCTATGAGCTGTGATGCCAAGGCACTCTACCCAGGGCGACAGCTTGAGACTCTGTCTCAAAAAAAAAGAAAAAGAAAACATTCTCACTCTGTTGCCCTGGGTAGGGTGCTGTGCCATCATTGCTCACAGCAACCTCAAAATCTTGGGCTCAAATGATCCTCTTGCCTCAGCCTCCTGAGTAGCTGGGACCATAGGTGCTCAGGCTGGTCTCAAACTCCTGAGCTCAGGTGATATACCCACCTCAGCCTTCCAGAGTGCTGGGTTTATAGGCATGAGCCACTGTGCCCAACCAGTTCTTGATTTTGTTTTGTTTTGTTTTGTTTTGTTTTGTTTT